GTTAATTCTTAAACAACAACAAAATCACTCATCATCTGGTACTGATAATGGTACAGCAACAAGATACTGGCAGATTTCAGGATACTGGCATTCAGGAATTACCCTCCTTCTATACAGCAGTCCTCATGTCCACACACTTTGATGCATCTATTTAATGCTATAAATTACTATGTTACTATACTGTCCCTTCCTGAAAAATGTTTCGTCCATTCTGCTGGCGCTACAATCCCCAAAATTAAGTCAAATGAGCACTAAGTGGTTTGAATCTTTTTTAGAAGAGCTTATTCAGATTCTTCTTTTACTCTTAGACAATAAATATACAGGTTATATTCCCAAGCCACCTCTCCATATATCTACCTGCTTTCACTTTTTGAGCTGCCCTGAATAAACATTTTAATACTGCAATTAAAAGATTTCTGCTGTAATTCTCAGGACAGTTACACAACTTTTGTCCTGAGCTAATGTTGACCTTTTGTGATTTACCCCATGATGAGGAACAAAAAACTACTCAGTATTCATACACTTCAGGCCAAGAAAGCAGTGTTCTCTAGACTGACTACTTGCAGACCAGCATATTCCCTCACTTATCCTATGCTGAATCCAATAGCTCAATAGCTTGCAACCAGTTGAAGGAAAACTTTTTAACGTTTTACAGTTTTGATATTCTGAAAGACTGAGAACTCCTTTTTCTTGCTGTTGTGTCCAAATGATGTTCCCATCTATTAATAATAGACTGTACTTCTAATTTCAGTATCTTTGCTGCAATAAAAAGAATCTTCAATAGCTTGCACTTTCTTCTTAGGAAGGTATTTATATATAACTAACATTCTTCTTGGTACCTTTAAAAAGATTTAAATCTTTATGTTTCTTTTAAGGCATTTTCTCAAGCCCTAAGTTAAGATATTCAGCCTGTTCTGCAACCATTTTTAAATCCCTGTTCCAAATGTGGATACCAGAAGCAGATCCAGTGTTTCAGCACTAGCCTCATCAATCCCACTCTTAGAAATAAAATCACTTCTTCCTACCACCTACTATTCCTGTTCATACTCATAAAGACTGAATTAGCTCTTTGTGCCACAGCAACATAGTAGAAAATCAATCTGAATTATTTATTCACTGACTCCTAAATGTTTTCCAGAGTTGCTGCTTTCCATAATGCCGTCCACTTTGGTCTGCATTTCCAGTTTTTTAAACAAATAACTTCGGCTATTTTAAAAGGTACTTTTTTCATTTAATGGGCCCAGCTTCTCGAGTAAAATGAACAGCGCTCTGTCCCTGCCTTGCCATACTTTTACTATTTCAATACTTTCGTCTCACTTGCACATTGGTAATGATTTTACAATTTCTTCCAAATCACTGAAAAAAGTACTCAATATTGCCCAGATATGTCCTAAATCTCACTGAATGCTTGAAAATATCACTTTCCTGCCCAGTGGTGATTCCCAGAGAGCCATTATTCCAGAGATGAATTTTCAGCAGCCATTGAAGTCTTCCAAGCATTTTCTTGGAACTCAGCTATAAACTATCAGAGCTGAATAGATATTAGTATCATCTTGTTTGGTTATTAAGAGGTTTGGAAGCACATCCCTTGTCTCTTCTGATTTGAATAGAAAGGACTTTTTTCTCTAAAGAAATGCAAATATATTTTTTGGAAGTTGCTACTTGGCCAACGTGGTTACTCATGACTTTACATCCTCATTATTTTATTGTTAGTTTGCTGCAACACAATCCTCTTACCCATATCCTTCTCAGCTTACTTATCAGACAACTCTCTAACATCCTCAGTGTCTTCTATCAATCTTCTCTGCTTTATAACTTCTCATTTACTGTTTCCCTAGCAATCCTTCACATTTTTTATTTATTGTGGTATTTTTTCCCCCCTGCCTTCAATTACCATTTGTTCCTCCTGGATATCACATACTTGATTCAAACTTAACTGATTTTTCATTGTAAAATGTTAATAAATTCTTCTTAAAGATAATTTTATTTGCTTGAAAAACCCTAAAAAACAATTCTTTATTTTGGAGTCTGATGTAACTGACTGAAGCTGGATTTTTTTAGTATGTACTAGACCATTAATTTCACAGAAGTACAGAAACCAAGTGCTAGAATACAGAATGCTATTTTGAGATTCCATTTAAGCCTGTGAAAAAGAATGTACTGTGATTAAACATCCATGAGAATGTTTTTCACTCATCACATCAATCAGCTTTTTACCCCTTCTTTCAAACAATATTTTTGTGCTTTCAAATAAAATACTCTAGGCTTTTGTCACAGGTCAAACACTTGACAATTTTTACAGTGTGTTCTACAAGGCCCCGCTCAGAAGCAGAACTACATTCACATTAGTCCCAGTGTCACTAGTGGACAGAGCCATGATTTATTAGGCAAAGGGGAGCAGCAAGGACTAATTGGCTATAGGAGGACATACAAGTGCGTGAGGGGAATGCATAACCAATGGAGAACACACACAAAGGTAGCTTGCTCCTCTGGCATGTCCCAAGGCTCAAGATAAATGGCATTATTAACAGATCTGACATATAAGAAATGCAGTACAAATTACACATGCAAATTCTTTCTTCCTCAAAATAGTACTCCCTCAGAAGTACTCCTATATGAAATAAAGCAAATTTTGTATATTTTGAGAAGATGCAATTTAGTAAATTAGAAGGCGAGAAAATGTCCTTATGTTAATTTCTTCACAGTAAATCAATTAAATCTGTGATTACAACTTTTTTCATCACCACTACCACACTGCAGACAAAATGCAAAGTTCCAGTATTTCAAACATGTTAAAATGCCTGTATCTTCTGCAATATGCCCATAAAGGTGTATGCTTATAGCAGAATTCAACATCTACATTTCTGCAAGTACAATAAGATATTTTTTAAAGTCTTAGAGAGGGCCAATAGATGTTTGCATCCATCAGTCAACCATGCTTCAAAAGAGCTGGCTTGGTGTTCTCAGCAACAGCTGCAGATATAACGCTAATAATATTGTAAAATAAGGCTTTACATGTCAAAACAGCAACTTCTTTTAAACTGCCCTTGATCTCTTATCCTACCATATTTAGTAACAGCCACCAGTGTAATCCTGCAATGTGACCTATATATAGAATTAGAAGATGCTCTTAACAGCTGTATTTTGGAAAATTAAAAAAAATAAAGGGGAGGAAAAAAACCAACCCCACACAAAATTATTCTCCTGAAAGTCAGATGTAACTCAGTGTATGGTTGGTCCACTAGAATATAGAGGTAACATTGACCAAAACTGTCTGTCACACACTCAGTGCAGAGATCGCCAAGTATATGCGTGACTCCTGTTAGTTCCGTACGTTTCACCGAAGCAAGAGTTGAATATGCCCAGCACTTTCAAGTTGGTGCCCACAGTAACATATACATTGAGATTAAGGTTCAGGACAATAATCTCAATCTATTTTCATTATGTGGAAAGGCAAATCCATTTGTTTTGCTGAACTGGTCTACCCTCTATAACACCCAAACACTACTTTGGAAGAATTTCGGCCTGGGAACTCTGCTGTTTAGATTAAGAAAAGAATAAGATTGCTTCTGTCATTTCTGTCCATCAGGAAGAAGCCTCATTACCCAAGTAGGCTTGTAATATGTTGTTAAGCCAGTTGTATTTTATTACCATTGATTTATCCATAAAGCTAATGCAATTATGGACATCTAAATATTACCCTTTAACTATTTACTTATCTTCTGGATAAAAAGCAACGCATATCTGAATACAGATCAGTTGATTTTGAGGTTAGGTAGAGAGTTAAACAGAGAGATGTGGTTCTTTTTACTGCTTGTCATTAGTCCACATAAATAAATCAGAGCAGCCTTACAGTATATTCTATGGAAAGTGAGAGACACAGCAATCCCAGAGGCAATCAGAACTTAATGCATTTGTATGTTTTGAGTTTCCACTGGAGCTTTCCATATGTACTCAGGGATCAAATATTTTTATTCCCTACATTTTTTACCCATAAAACACAGTTCTTTGTAGAAGGGGGATGGCCCCAAACTGTTTGCAGTAATGGTAAAATACGATCACAAACCTGGCAGGTTGGCAGATGTTCTGTGAAATTAGGCACGTAAAAACACAAAAGGTAAGTTTTATTTCAGACATCCCATAAAAAGAGTAGTATAATAGAAAGGTTTTATTAGCAAGACCATGCACTGCCATTTGGGACACCTAAGTATGAGAGCTATGGGTGCAATCAAGCTCTTCAAAGGCTTGTGACAAGAATGTGGCACGGGAAGAAAAAGAAAACCTGTGTTCAGCATAAAGACCAGAGCGAGAGATAAAGTGTTAGCTAGACATTTGATCCAAGTAATTTTATAATACTATAAAATTATCTTAAATAGCTTTATCCTTTGTTTCTGGATACAGGGAGGCTTTTCCCAGTTTTCCTAGCACGGCTTTTTGCAGGCCTGAAGATTTACGAAACTCGGAATATTAAACTGGCAACAACAGGCATTTTGGAGCTCAGTGCGGTTTG